AATGGCAAAAATGTATGAAGGATTAGCCTTTCAAGAGCCTACTAATTAGTCGAATTATCAAGGCTTGTAAGGGAGATGAACGAAAAAAAAATCAGCAGAGGCTTACTGCAGAGTTGCAGTCCAATGAGGACGAAATTAAAAGACAGAGATTCCTCTGCCTGAAGCACGATTTTATAAAGGCTGCAGTCCAGCCCAGAGGAGATCCAACCTAGGATACGATATGGCGCTCGAAAATTGAAGGGCCTGTGCATAGTGGTCGTAAAACCTGAAATGAGCTGCCAAAGCTAACCAAATGAAACTTTTTGAGTTTACTTCAAACAATGCACCCTTTAAAGAGATTTGAAGGAGCGGAAGTGGGGAGCTCACATTTAACGTCATGTAAGTTGCTATTACATTTCGCTTCTTCTCCCAAAAACGTCGTTGGGATCCTTATCAAATCCTATTGCAGTATTTAGAAGCACGATTCGTGACTACCAAGTCTCAGTAGAGCAGCGTTACTCAATAACGAAAAGTGTTCGAAACTGAGCTGCAGGAGGAGGCAAAAGAAGAGAAACGTCTAGGCCAATGGCGGCAGAGGACATTCTATTAAGTTGGGTAGAAGGTTTTGTAACGTTGCGATTACTTCCTTTTTTTTATTTGCTAGCTCAACATAAAATAGAAATTTATAAACAATAGAACAGACGCAGTGCTCCACCTAATGGGCAGGTTAGCAGTCCCCTTCAATTCCGGCAAGTGTGGAACCTAAAAATGTTATCCGCATCAGGAAATTGCATATTATACTAATTCCAGAGACAGCAATTACAGGACTATGGTAAAAGCCAGAGAGCGTGCCACGCAACAGTCACCGCCACGCGGACGGTCGTTAGCACTAACGTGAGGTTGCGAAATGCGGTTAGTGTAGGCAAGAAATTACAGCTTTCCCACGGTCGCGCACGTACTCTGACACCCGTTGCAGAATTTTGGAATCGACAGCTGGGGGGCTGAATTAAATCATTACACCCTCAATCGATGTATGCGAGCGTACCATGTGTCTTTAGTTTTCAGAAGTGGTCCGAGGTACGCACGAATAGGCAGGAATTCAGCGCTGCTTGTAGCGCAACCCCCCCCCCCTCCTCGCGACTTTCAAGCTGCACGAAAATCCGTTTTCCTTCTGTTACCGAGTCCAGTTAGAGAAATGTGTGTGCTTCAAACGCATCTCTTTGTAGGACGGAAGTATAAGAAAGTTTGCCCTTCTTTGGGGCCTCCTCCAATGCTACCCATTGATCCACACGTAGAGGTAATAAAGGTGAGAGGTGGAGCTTAGCGCTTGTCCATGAACGCAAATGGGTTTGGGTCAGAAGGACCGCAACCTAAAACCGGGCTTCAAGTTTGCCCTATGCGGTCATATACGTACCTATGAGGTCAAGCTAGCTACATTATTTATATCATCAGAGATTCTGATTGATTTGCAATGCTTTCACACATCCGATTTCTCTACAGTACTCATTCCACTCTTCACACCTTAAAGACAGTTCGATAAAGTGTAATGGATAGTTGCTGTTCAATTGTGAAACGTTAGCTGATAAGTAGTTCCCCAGCGAAGAACGAAGAAAAAAGCAAGGAGAGTTCTCAAGAACACCACAAACAAAATTGCTCCTCTGACATCACAACGCCCTGCGGTCTCTATGCAACCCCTGGCTAACGAATCGCTTTTTCGCATCTCCCAGTAGAAGATATCATCCAGTGCAAAGAAAAGAATACGAAAAACAACAAAAACACGGACGAAAAACTCTTGACAAAAAAATTTCAAAAACCAGGCTCGAGCTTTTGCACTATGAAAATTGCATCGCTCGTGATTTTACGCGTTTTACCTTGCGAGATGGGTTGCAGTTGACTGTATGTGCTCCTAATGAATAAAATGTAATGAAGGAGAGCAGAATTACTTATGGGCACGAGCGCGGTCAGCAAAAAGGACATGCACTTCCGATTAATGCCGCCGCCCCAACAAAGAACAACTGAGCGGCCCTCCGTCAGAGGGCATCCAGCAAGTGGGCGGTCCAGCTGAGCGGGCGTTAGAACATAAGAACTTTCAGCGGCTGCACCTCGCTCCGCCTCGCTACACGTCCGAGGAGGATAGTCTAGTCTGGCGCTGACTACTTGCACAAGGAAGGACGACCCATCGTACTACTGAGCCGAGGCTTCTAGGCCACACCTTTGTACTGTCGTTAACATAACTCTCGCACTTATGAACACCATCAGTTTCCTGATACGAACGAATCCCACCGGGACGCCGCCGACTAATGCCAGGCCCTGCTCGCAAAACCATACATCTCACAAAACATACGGGAAAAAGGAAGGCTCTTAGCTAGAAAATGCCACCCTGAGGCTTGTTCGCAATAGTACCATACAGACGTTGCAGACGCTCGCCAAGAAGGCTGTGCTGTCACGGATCACGGGGCGACAGTGAAACGCGTAAACGATTAATGCAAACAGACTAAACTGCAGCATGAGTGAAAATAGTAGACGTCAGGAGGTTCTCCATTACGCCCTTAGGCACAAATTGGAACGGAACAATCTGCGCATGAGAATGAAAACGCACTCAGCCATCGTCTCATAAGCAGTTCCAAGGAATAGCATTTAACAGGGAAGGTAATAAAAAGTCTCTCATAATATTTGAGCGCAGCAGTGTACCGTAAACGATTTTTGAATGAAGATTGTCGCTCTATTGTACAATCAACAAACGCGATGCACGACATGATGATGAGATAGCCTGTAATGTCGATCATCTACATTCGCGCCTGTTTTGTCTGTATTGCTGTTTGTTATTGAAACAGAAAGTCATATCAACTGCGTTCTCGTCGCAGTAAGGATTGCTTTCTGGAAAAGATACAGTAGTGAGACGAAAAGGTGGGTGATAGGAAGTGAAACAACTAGTAAAATTCGCAAAGAACACTTAGAAAGGGACGATGACTGAAGCTATAGTTCGTATCGCAGTAACGGTGAGACGGTAATGCAAATAGAGGATGGGACGGGAACATACAGATCGTCATCCTCGGGTAATGACTAAGCAGCAAAAGCTGCCACGGGGTCCCCTAGCTGCCGCTGCGGCTCGTCACGACCTCGACGATCAACCTGTCCCAGCCTGTTGGGCATTTCTCCCCCTATTCATAGTATTTCTATTTCTCAATGAGCAGCTTTGTTAGCCTTTATGAAGCGTTTAGTTTCATCGATTTACTATCACGCAAAGGCGCTGGAAGTGTGTTTATACCCCTGCAATCGAAAAAAGACTAGAACGACATTCAATGCAAGTTAGGCAGAAAAACCTTCAACTCAATATTTCAGAAAATCCATGCTAATGAACAAATTCTTCAATTTCTTTTGAACATTGGTATTGAGCATTTTGGTAGGATGATGGCAGTGACTGAATCACTCTTCGCTCCACGGATAACAGTGAATTGAATATTCACAAATCGGAGGTCTTTCAGGTCTGCGCGACTTTTTTGAATGGTATTGTTGCTTGTTGTAAGGTCAGTAAAGGATCTTAAAAATGGTTCATTTTGCTATGCGTTTCTGGGGAGGTCAAAAATTGAGTGAGAAATTTTGGCAAGAATGGGCAATTTTAACTATCTTAATGGGCTCAATTCTGATTGTAACTCCGAGCATGCATAGTTTATGAGGTGTTCTTAATTAGGCTTCGAAAATAATTTCAAATAAAGTCAAAATTAAATATCATGTAGTAACACACTTCGCATGCACCTGACGCAACAGTGATGTTTTTGTCAGCGGTCCCCTCATGCTCACTGTCGGCGGATCGGGCGCAGCGGATAACTCGATGGATTCTGGATGGGACGACGATACGATACTTTATTTGAAACTATTTTCGAAGCCTAATTAACGAGCACCTCATAAACTATGCATGCTCGAAGTTACAATCAGAACGGAGCCCATTAAGATAGTTAAAATCGCCCATTCTTGTCAAATTCTTTTCACTCAGTTTTTGACCTCCCCAGAAACGCATAGCAAAAATGAAACCCATTTTGTGATCCTTGTATGGACCCCTACAACAAGCAACAAACCATTTCCAAAAAGCGCGCCACGACCTGAAAGACCTTCTTGATCGATGTCTATTGCTCAATTTCGGGCATTGTAGGGACAGCGAAGAGAACGGCCCCTGCTTGGCCTAATTACCCAGTACTTACTAGGCTTCAATCTTAACTCTCCTTTGAGTAACTTGAAGCAGAACAAAATGTCATTAAACACCCTTCTATATAGTAATGACTTCAGGTTGAAAAGCTGTAAGCGCTCTCTATAGCTAGGTAAACCACGTGGATATAACGGGCTGGGATAACATCGGTACATCAGAATTCTGGTGAAAGTTTGTTGAACTTTTTCAACTTTTGCCTGAAGTTTTTTGGTGTAAGGACTCCATATCTGAGAACCGTATTCTAGTAGGGATGACATATGATTTATAGAGCTTAGCAAAGTTAGAGAATCATTTATTAGACACTTCTGAGTAATGCAAAAAGGGGTGTGAAGGATTTACGAACAACGGCATCAGTATGATGTTTGAAATCCAAATCAGAATTTACAAGAAAGCCGAGGTCACGAACTTCATTTGAAGTACCAAGGGGAATACCATCGATTATGTACGGTACAACTCTAGCTGCTCCTATATGAAGTACAGATGTCTTCGTGAAATTTATAGGTATTCCCCAAGCAGTAGCCCACTCCATCATGTTGCATACGGATTGGGTTAATGCTTCTTGCACGCAGTCATAATTACATTATTATAAACACCATACACTTATAAGAAAAATAGAATAATAATATAACAATAAGTGTATGAAACAACAAATATCTAAAAAAAATTGCAAAAACACTCTATTACAAAAAAAAGAATCCTTTTGTGAGACAAGGGTTCTTCTTTGCTTTTGTAATGAAGAGTTTTGCAATTTTTCTGGATGTTTTTTAATTGTTCAATTTTTCGCAAAAATTAGGGAAATCCCAATCATATTTACCTTGTGAAGACAAGGAACAACCCTAAGAAAGCAGCCAAAAACAGTGAAAATTAGGGAGAAAATGGCTAAACCAGGCTGGAAACAGCTGATCGCCGCGGTCGTGACGCGCCGCAGCCGCGTCGCGACCCTTTGGCCGCCTAATCAAGTGCCCGGATGACGACTGTAATGGCTGTAAAGTAAACGATATGATGGATATGGTCGGTGGTGGATAGCATTGGTTGAAAGCTAGAGAGAGGTGGTCATGAAGAATAAATAGGACAGTGCGAACGGCAGTAACTGTGGAAGTTGGCTCTAGCACATGGTGTAAGGGGTAGGACGCGAACATCACTGGTGATTAACAAGAAACTACGGTAGCTGATAAAAGAAGCACGTTGGGCTATCTTCTTTGCAACGCCTGTAGCAGCGATAACAGAGCGCTGGTTCCGTGAAAATTGAAGATTACGGAGACATTGACAGTGTTTGAACAAAAGTGATAACGACTGATAAGAGCTGATAAACGGCACAGAAGTGCCAAAACATTCTCGCAAAAACAGAAAATAAATACACAGAATTGATGATTGGTGACAGTTCCTGGAATTCTCTCGAAAGGAAGGAGGAGGTTTGAGAAAGCTTCTAATTCCTAACCTAAGAGTGGCGGAATCACCTTTCCTCTCCTTTTCTTTAATGAAATATCCTAATCCCTCCAAGAAGTGAAGAAGTGTGTTCAGCGCTCTTTAAAGGAAGTTGGCACGATAATTCGGTACTTGGCGTAAATTGCTAGCAATGCCCTTTATAGTGGGGAAAATGGCGCAAAAACGAAGTGAAACGGTCAAAAATTTGCGAAGAAAAGCCTTCGTTCTTCAATGACTCGAAAAGCAATTTCGGACGAGTTTCCCGTAGGCATCTTGCCAATAACCGCTACGGTAGGTACGGCTGCAAGTATGTGCTCACGTATCTATGCAGCACCGCGGCCGCTTCATATAAAAACTTTCGCTTCATATTTTACTTCAGCAAATGAAGCAATACGAGCATCAGGCACGGTCGTCCATTTGTGGGCGGGCGGGCACGGTGGGCGTCCGGGTCGGTATGTTGCAGCTCGATAGGGCCTTATAAGGGTTCTTCCTTGGAAGAGGCGCTATGCAGCGCCTGCGCAGGCCAGCGGAATTCCTGCTAGGCGCATCAACCCTACTCGTCTTAGGGATTTATCGTGCCAACTGCCTTTGGAGTTTCATGCGCTTCAGTACCTTCTGAAGAAATTCTGCACGGCTAGGTTACATCGACTCAAATCATGTGCACTTTCACTATGTCCTTTTCTTCAACAGAAAAGTGCCTTTTCTTTGAAATACGACAACAATTTCCTTCATGGCATTACGTGAGTGAGGGTGAAAAAATCACAACAACGACACACTGTAATAACTCAGAAATGAAAAGGACGCAAAAAGAACGCGTGTGAGCCACGATTTTGTGACGATGACAGAGAGACAGTTTCAAAATTCCCGTTTCAAGGTTGAGGGATTGACATCCGATTTCGCATTTGTACACGGTTTACCCACGAAGATTTTCCGGAAACAGTTCTCAAGTGGAAAAATGAGGAGCAAATTTGGTTCAGTGCGTTTAGTGCCACAGGAAGCGCATACAACTCTGACCATACTTCAGCAAGCAATCGAGTCTTCTGAAGTACCCCATACCCCGCCTTCAACTGAAGTACTAGAAATGAAGCTAGCTCCAATCCCCATCCCAAATTCAGTGGCGAAATTTGGGAATGGGAAACATTCTGGAAAACGTTCGAACATACCGTTCACTCAAGAAACATTCGATGACCTCTACAAACTCAACTACCTCCTGGATGCCCTCCAAGGAAATGCTAGAGAGTCAGTAAAGCAATTCGAGATTTCAGGGCACACTTATCCGCTAGTAATAGCATACCTCAAAGAAAAATATGGCGACAAAGAAGCATTAATTGAGAGACTCTACTGCAATCTTCAAGCGACACAGGCTCAAACTAATCGCTTAGAAGATCAGGAAATTCTTTGCGAAAAACTAGATTCCATCATCTCTCAACTGCGAATCAAGGACGAGCACGTTGACGGCACATGGGAAACCCATCACTACTGTTAGCGGCGAAAGAATACATCAAAGATGAGATCCGAATATCCCACCAAATGAAACAATGGACTACCAGTGACACCACACGGACGATGTCAGACATCCCTCACGAAACTACGCCTCGCCAGTTTCGTCAGAACTCTTGCTTCTATTGCGGGAAAAGTGGACATAAACCACGGGACTGCAACGAAGCTACAACATTGGAGAAGCGACTTGAGATTAT